TGGAAAAGTCAACTGGCAGGCGCGATCGGGCTCTTTCAGTCTCACTGTCTCCTCCAGCTGCCTACTGTCGCTCACTAAATCATTTATTCAGCAAATTGTGGTCCAGACTCTGTTCCCTGCACTCAAGGTGACTACAGTCTAGCAGGTACACAGACCCCTTAAGAGACCATGACAAGACTGCACAGGTGCGCTCTGGAGGCCAGTCGCAGAGGTGCTGGGAGCACAGAGGAGAAGTACTTGCCTCCGCCCTGGACAATCCAGAAAGGCTGCCTGGAGGAGGTGCTAGCCGAGGCCACTCTTAAGAGATGGAAAGTACTAGCCCACATTAATTGAGTGCTTAGTAACTGCCAGGCATTGTGCTAAAACTTTGGAAGCATGAGCACTTTCAGCCCTCGCACCCCTAAGATGGGGACTATCACTGAATGAGGTTTGCGCCTAGACGGCTGCCTGAAGCTGTCACATTCCCAGCCTGAGGGCACACGGGTGCCCTACCACATAGAACACAGGGACAGGACATTCCGGGAGGAGAGCATGGCATGCACAACAGCAGAGTGGGCGACGGGGAGAGGGGGCAGGACAAGGAGTGGGCCCAGACGGCGTTCAGGCTTTCCCAGGGGGAGTTCAGGTCCCCAGAAGGATGTGCAACACCCCAGGGGCAGCCGATATGGAGAGAGGCCAGGTTGCAGCCCGGCTCCGGGCTCTGGCCCCATCTGTCTAAATAGGGCAGGAGCCACACTGGCGGCCTCGCGGGCTCTCTGAGCACAGCTGCCCCAGCGATGGGCGGGAGCCAGATGGCAGGGGCTGCAGGGCTGCCTCACGTGGCCTGGGCAGGCGCAGAGAGCCCCGAACAGGAGGGGACTGAGAATCACTGCTCCCCTGGTGGGTGTTCTCTGTTCGCTGATTTGCTTGGGACGAAGTTAGCCTCGGGGGAGGCTGAGCCGAGGGGCGATGGCTGGCACAACCTCCATGGCTTACACACCTTAGCCCCAGACAATCTCCGTGTGGCTCTGGGGGTGGCTGGCCTCCTCAACTACAGCACCAGGCCCCCAGGCCAGGGGTACCCTCCTTCTGACCTTGTTCCTGCCCCTTGGGTGGGGGCTTAGGAAAGCCACTCTGATCCAGGCTGAATAAGGACTTGAATAGCAACCTGAATCCAGAGGGCGCAACCAGAGACAATGAGCTGCAGCAAGGGAGATTCTAGTTAGACTCACGGCAGCACTGGCCTGGGATGCTGAGGGGAGTAGTAGCTATTTCTGGGGAGGAAGAGAGACCCCTCCTGTGTCTACGACAGCCTGTCTGGAAAAAGCATGGTGGGGATTCCTCCCTCCCCTTCCTTTGTTAGCTCCTCTGTCATCTCCCACATTTTAACTTCCTCTCTCCTGTCCTGCTCACCTTCCACTCCCGTCTCCATTGTCCCAGTGTCACTCGGGGCCTCTGAGCTTGGACACAATTCAGCCAACGTTTGCTGGGCCCTACACCTGCTGGAGGGCGCTGCCAGCCAGGCGGACAGACCAGACGGGTAAGCCTGTGCCCAAACCCACGGCAGAGTAGGGTCGGGTGACAAGAAACATACAAGCCAAAGCTCTGGGGCTCAGAGACCACAGCCCCAGGGGGCAGGGAAGGCTTCAGAGAGGTGGCATTTGGAGGAGGGTGAGTGGCATTTCTAGGCTGGCAGAAACCAGTGGGGATGAGGAGAGGGAGCAAATGAGTGGGGAAGGGAAGAAGAGACTGGAATATTCCAGAAATGGCAAGCAGACTGGCGTGGCTCCACAGATGGGGTGAGAAGGGTCTGGTGAGATAACAAGCAAGTTGGAGCCAGCCCAAGAGGCCCCGAGTCTCAGGATGAATGATTTGCACTGAACCAAGCAGGCAGCATCCAAGGCTTCAGAGGAAGGGCATGCCTTATCCGGGCTGGGACTAGAGGAGTTCTAGATTTTGCTCCTGTCCTAGGATGTTAGGAAAGGCACCTGGCCTTGATTTTGAACCTCCAGGCCACTCTCTGAATTCCCCAGGGGAGCAAACAACTGTGTGACTCAAATGTCACCTTTTCAGTAAGGTCTTCCCTGATGGCCTTATTTAATCACCCAGCTCCCCTGGCGTTCCCGAGTCCCCTTCACTTCTCTGGGTTTTCCCCCATTGCATATATCTCCTTCTAACACACTTCGTCCATAGTTCATGTGGTTTCTCGTCTGTCCCCACCCCCTGTTAGAATGGAGGCCCCGTGAGGGCAGGGTCCAGGTCTGTTTTGCTTGCCACTGCCGAGCACAGCACCTAGAATGCCAACAAACTCCTCCATTTGTTGAAGGAACAGAGAAAATATCACCCCATAGGGACCAGCATGGTCTGTCCGGTCTGCTCCCTCCTTGTCACTTCACTCCTGGCTTCCTGGGTGCCTCGGAGTGGAAAAGTCTCAGAGAGCCAGACAGAGCCGGGCGGCTGCCCCCCGCACCTCCCCCTCTCGCCAGGAGGCTGCCCACGTGCCCACCCCACGTGTGCAGGGGCTCTGGGCATTTTGTTTCATTTTGGCCTCGCACCAAGCCTGTGCGGTGGGTGTTATCCTTCCCATCGTACAGATGGGAAAATAGAGAAGTTCATTGGCATGGCCAAGCTTTCCCTGCCGCATAAGGAGCCCAGTTTTCTACGCTGTTCTGTTCTACTCCCTGCCAGTGCTCGTTCCTCCATAGCTTGCGGCCTCTCTTCCGGCAGAGAGTTGGCCGAGGTGCGGGACGTGAAGCCTGCTGAGTTCTCCGGCCAACGCGCCAGGTCATGGGCACTCTCTGCTGGCCTCGGCCTTCCCACCTGAGCTGTGGGGGGGCTGGCCACCTCCCCGTGATGTAGGAGGACAACGACATCACGTCTGCTGCCTGGCCTGAACTCAGCAGAGAGTACACGTTATGACTGTGGTCACTGCCCGTTCTGGGCAATGGCCAGGTGTCCTGTCTTCACTCTGATGTGTACCAGGGCTGGAGTCCAAAACAGGGCTCACTGCGTTTGCAGACCCAGTGGATCCAAGGGAAACCATACCTCGCTCTGTGTGCAGATCCAGCGCCCTGTATCCAGGTCTGCTCACAGCCAAGCTGTGGTCAGGGAGGCAGGAGAGCCTGGACCAAACCCCCAAGCCCCCAGGTGTGGGGCCGTAGGTGGCTGTACTTCCATTCCTTAGGGACTTAGTTCACCCTCCTTGGGGGTGGGAACCCTCTCTCTCAACAGACGCTGCTGAGTCCTTATGATGTGCAAGGTAAGCAATATCTTGTTTCTGCCTTCGAGGCCCTTCGAGGGCAGGTTAGAGCACAGTCATTAAATAGGCAATGGGACCCATGGATGATCATAGAGTAGGGGAGTGAGCTGACTGAGCTGTGCTTTTCGGAGGTTAATCAGGCAGCAGAGTTTAGTTGGGCGGGAACAGACTTTTGCAATGGTCAAAGCTAATATGCAAAGCACTTACGGGGGCTAGGTGTTATTTCAAGCACTTTGCAGATGCTAACTTATTTCAGGGTTCTTCACAGTAACCCTAGGGTACTGTTGTTGTCCTCGTCTTATAGGTGAAGAGACGAAAGTACACAGAGATGACAAGGCTAGCAGGTGGTCACGCTGGGACGTGAGCCCTTCTGGCTCCAGAGCCTGAGCTCGTAACCGTTCCGTGCTGCCTGTCACGTGAGTCTAGCCTGGAGGAACTGGGGCCTGGCGCAGGGCTGAGGCACCGGGCATGCCCCAGGGACAGTGAAATGCTGCCTGTGGCGAAGGTTCCCTACCCCAAGGGCTCTCCCAGGAAAGGACCAGGAAACCACAGGGAGATGCGAGCATCAAGCGCTTCGCTCTGCACGGGGACGAGCTATATCCGAGATCGCTTCCACCCAGAACGGCAGCCATCGCAGCAGCGTTCTTGGCCAACGGCCCGTGCAGGATATGTTCTTTCATGTAAGAGGGATTTTAGACACTCTCAAACAGAGAAATCTCATCTCAGTTATAGCTTCCTCTGGAAAGCTTCCTGGACCATCTGATCCAGCGGTCCCTAACTAACCTTTCTGGCAACAGGGACTGGTTTCAGGGCAGAAAATGTTTCCGAGGACTGGGGAGGGGGTGGGAATGGAGTGGAGGGCGGGGAGGGGTGCGGGGCTTAGGCTGTGGTACAAGGCCTGGTTCCTAACAGGCCTTGGCCTGGGGTTTGGGGACCGCAGATCTAACCCTCTCTCAAGGATTTATTTATTTATTAACTTATTTGCCTTCTTAAATAGGGAAGAAAGCCTCACTTAGATGCTGACCTGGCTTGAACACCTTTTGGCTTGGGCTGTCTGGTCACTGCCAATGTCGCTTCTGCGGAGGCGGAGGAGTGGCTGGAGCTAACCAAAGGGACAGGGGCCCGGGCAGAGGCTGCGCTGAGGGGCAGGGAGGAAGCGGCTGGACCTAGGCAGGGCTGTGACGCCAAAGGGCTGCCCGGTGTTATTTTGACAAGATTACACCTGGTCCCTCTGAGATGTTCGGCCACTACATCTGAGACTATGCTATTGACGCAAGTAATGCTCGAGAAGTACCAGGAGGTTGTGGTCGGATTACACCACTAAGATCCCTTTGCTCTAACGGTGCAGGAGGATACCGTCCGTCTTAATCCTTTCATGAGGACAAACTGGTGTCCAGGGTTAGGGAACTCTCAGAAGAGCCCTGTCTGGGTGGGTTCTGGGCCTGCCCCAGACCAGGGTCCGCTGGGCAGAAGCCACTCAGGGGACCCCAGGCTTGAAGCCCAGTCCAGGGCATTTCTGAGGGGCAGAGGGCACCCTCTGACCAAGCCAGACGGTCTTCTGCCCCACTCCCAGGTCGCAGGAGTAGGGTCGCCTGGGACAGAGACCTTTGGAGAGGGGACTAGGGGATTCCTGCCCCTTCCTGTCAGGTTGTGGACTCAGGAGGGCTTAGGGAGGGCTGGCGTGGTCACGTTTCCCAGGCTTGAGGTAGGAGCTGGCACTCAGGCCTCGCGCTGATGGGTGGGGGCGACGCAGGGCGCCTACCTGGACCAGCAGGTGCGGTTTGGGGCCTGAGCCTCGGCGCTGTTCCTGGGCTTCCCTTCCTCTTGATCAGGCCCCAGGAAAAGGTGCTTCCGAGTGCCCAGCTGTGTCCCCGCTCTGTTCCTGACCACGAGGGTGGCTCCTCCAAGGCTCTGTGGCACAGGGACAACAGAACCCTCTCAGTGCAAGTGGGCATGGATCCCAGTCCCTCCTGGCCTTCTTGCAGCTCCTCCCCACGCCCAAGCAGGCCAGGCCCTTCCCAGGTCCAACGCGCTTGTCGGCATCTTCCAACAGGGCCTGTCTCAGGAGCTCGGAGGGGTGACGGCTACTCCAGATGCATCCCCGCCCCCCAGCCTGCCCCACCTCCAAATCTAGGCCAACGAGTGCCCTCCCCTTGGGGTGGGTGAGCTGGGGAGCTACCATTCATCCCAGCCAAGCAAGGGCTGGGCTCGGGGGGCTGGAGCACTGCATTGGGAGTCCAAGCCAGTCTAAGCACCAGCTCCATCACTTGCCCCCTGGTAAGCTGGAGCTCCCCACTTTCCTTTGCCAGTGTGGGGGACATCAGCCTAGATGCAGGACAATACAGGAGGCCACAGGGGGTCATCACCTACTTCAGAATCATCTGAAGGTGGAGGTTGCTAAAATGCAGGTTAAGGGCCCTACCATGGCCACTGAATCTGAATCTCCAGGAAGGTCCCCGGGAACCTGCATTTTAACAAACTCCCCACATGCATGCTCATGAAGTCAGACTCAGCAGACTGCATGCTGGGAAAGGGCGGACAAGTCCAAGGATGAAGATTTTATAGTACGCACAAAGGGGTCACAGGCCCCTTTCCTGAAAGCAGTGTCATAGGAGCCTGGTCTCTGCAGACAGAGCAGCCAGGGAGCCCCGCGCAGCTTGCGAAACCTCTCCATGTTTCATTTTCCTCACAGACAAAGTGAAGATCAGAGATGATCTCTTGGGCCCTTCCAGACTTAAAATTGTGAATGCAAGAACAGGTAAACCCACTGAGAAATGGATTTAAAACGAAATTTCAGGGCGAGGTATTTTAACTATATAATTGTTTTCTTCTTAAACAGTCTTTTTAAATTCTGAAAATAACGTGCATATAGAAAAACTTCAAGCCATTCAAAATAATGCACAATAAGGCCAGGTGTGGTGGTCCACGCCTGTAATCCTAGAACTCTGGGAGGCTAAGGCGGGAGCATACTTTGGGCTCAGGAGTTTGAGATCAGCCTGAACAAGAGCGAGACCCCCGTCTCTACTGAAAATAGAAAAATTAGCCTGGCATGGTGGCGCATGCCTGCAGTCCCAGCTACTCAGAAGGCTGAGGCAGTAGGATCGCTTGAGCCCAGGAGTCTGAGGTTGCTGTGAGCTAGGCTGACACCATAGCACTCTACTCAAGGCAAAAGAGTGAGACTCTGTCTCAAAAAAAAATACACAATGCAAGTGAAATCTAGTGTGGATGTCCCTGCCATCTCAGACCTCTGCCCTACTCACAAACATAAACATTGTCAAGATTCCTGTTTAGGTTTTGTACAAGAATTTTTCCAAAATATGGACAAATATACACCTATGCCTGCATCTTTATTTAAAACCCAACCAGGAACATATTCCCAGTGCTTATCGTTGTTTTGTTAACTAATATATATCACACATCTATGCAGACCAACACAGACAGTTCCCTCCATTCTTTTAACAGCTCACAGTGTTCCACTGAACCAATGCACTATAAATTATGTAAATCTGTCCTTGTTGATGAATATTTAGGTTATTTCCACAGTTTTGCTGCATAAACAAAGCTGCAGTGAATATCTCTGATAAATCCCTAGGTCGATGGTGATGTGGATCTAAAATTCTGGCAGATATTGCCAAATTGCCCCCCAATGACTGTGAACCAACCGGTTTGCACTGCCCAGCAATGCGCGCGGGTGCCTGTTTCTCTCCACGCTCAATACCACCATGCACTGTCAGATTTTTAAACTTTGCCAATGAGTTGAAAAATGGCATCTTCTTTCAGTTTGTAATTTTCTAATTGTCAGAAAGGGCAGGCATATTTTCATGTTTATTCATCGACTGGCCTTTGCATTTATTTTTCTGTGAACTATGCCCTTTTAGTTTATCTTACTGATTTTTAAGAAGTTTTTCTAAATTAAAGCAATTAGCTTTTTGTCATGCATATTGCGAATCGTCAGTCAGCTCTTTTTTACTTTATGGCATCTTTTGCTTACAGACATTTCAGATTTTTCTGCAGTTGAATGTATCAGTCTTCTCCTATATGGCTTCTGGGGTTTTGGACTTGCTTAAAAAGCTTTTCCCATTTGAGAAGCATAAAAATATCTGCCCATATTTTCCACTTGTATTGTTAGTGTTTTCTTTTTTAAAAAAAAATATCTTTGCCGCATCTAGAATTTATTTTGGTGTAAGGATTGTGGTAGGGCCCGGATTTATTTTATTTTCCTCAAGGGGCCAGACAGTTGTCCTAAAGTCATGGTTGAATAATCCTGCTCCCCTCCCCAGCCGCCTCCCCTAAGTTCAAAATCCCAATTTAACTATGCAGTAGGGTGGATACAAAGAGCATAAACTCAGAGTCAAGTGTCTGGTTCAAATCCCAGCTCAACAGGATCTAGGATAAGTTACCTACCCTTCCTGTGCCTCAGTTTCCTCACCTGCAAATGGGAACAACGATAACTCCCCTGCATAGAGTTATTGTGAAGATTAAATGAGTTATTACAGGCAAAAGGTGTGGAAAGATGCAACTATATGCTGTACACAAGGGGCTCGCCTTAGATGTTAAGGCACCTGTGAGTTGAAAGTGAAAGGGTGGAAAAAGATATTTCATGCAAATGGTAACAAGAAAGCAGGGATGGCTATATTTATATCAGTCAAAAAATGCCACAAGAATAAAGCAACACATTATATAATGATAAAGGGCCAATCCCAGTAAGATATGACAATCACAAATGTATATGCACCTGGCCAAGCACCCAAATATATGAAACAAATATGGGCAGAACTCAAGGGAGAAATAGACAGCAACACAATAACAGTTCCTGAAGACATTTCAATACTCCACTTTCCATAATGGATAGAACCACCAGGCAGAAGATCAATGAGGAAACAGAGGGCCTGAACAACACTGTAGACCAATTGGACCTAACTGCCATATGCAAATCATTCCAGCCAACAGCAGCAAGTACACATTCTTCTCTAGAGCACAGGGAACATTCTCCAAGATAGATCACGTGTTAGGCTACAGGTAAAGAGTGTAGAACAGTGCCCACACACGGGAACTACCACATGTTGGCGATTACTGTCATTAACACTGCATATTAAACGTGCTTTTGATCTGTGAGCCAGTTCCATCCTTTGACAAATATCTACCACCATGCATCAGGCCCCGTTCCAAGTACCAAGGGCCCAGGAGTGAATAGCACTAACAGGAGCTGCACCGCCGCCTCCGGTTAGACTTAGTTCTAGTTATCTTTAGCACTTCTGCTGATATTTTAGATGCTGTCTTCCATTATATTTTCAAAGAGGCTAATGGTGGCTGTGCACAGGGGCTCATGCCTAGCACTGTAATCCTAGCACTCTGGGAGACCAAGATGAGAAGATTGTTTGAGCTCAGGAGTTCAAGACCAGCCTGAGCAAGAACAAGACCCTATCTGTACTAAAAACAGAAAAATTAGCTGGGCATGGTGGTGCACACCTGTAGTCCCAGCTACTCGAGAGGCTGAGGCAGGAGGATCAGTTGAACCCAGGAGTTTGAGGTTGCAGTGATCTATGAAGACTCCACTGCATTCTACTCCAGGCGACAGAGCAAGGGTCTGTCACAAAATAAAAAGGGGGGAGGAGCTAATATTTATATATAGAAAAGCTAATCAGTTTTGTTTCTAATATTTATTACCAGTCATCTTAGTATATTCTTTTATTATTTCTAATACTTATTTCAGTTGACAATCTTGTTCTTTTTTCTCCAGGTGGTCAATCTTATTATCTGCAGTTTTAACAGATTTGCCTCTTTTAGATTTTCAAAATTTGTATTGGCTTGTACTTCTAGAACAGCGGTAAAGAATTAGGGTAATGATGTTCATTCTTTCCTTGTATGTGTTTCCGTCTGTAAACCCACATGCATACACACAATCATATTAAGCATCATCCCTCTATTCTTATTTTAAAAGAGTTAAAATCAGGGACACGTGTTGAATTTTAGGGATTTTAGCACTTACAGAGTTGCTTATATGATTTTTTTCATTTCTTTTGAACTACAAGTTTATTCAATTATATTAACAGTTTTTCTAATATTGAATCTGTATTTCTGGAATATAGCCATCTTGTTTGTGATATATTCATTTTTTTTTACATATGCTGGGTGATTTTATTTATTGTTATTTAATTTATGAATTTTACACCAATGTTCAAACATAAGATTTTTTAGTAATTTTTCTTTTTTTGTTTGGTATCAATGTTTCTTTTTCTCAAGTTTGGTTTCAATGTTGTGCTGGTTTCATAGAATAATTTGGAATCTTTTCTTGTCTGTGTTCTGGTATAGTTGGTGCAGTTTAAATAACATTGGAATTATCTATTCCGTGCAGGTTTGATAGAAATTAGAAGCTGTCTAAACCTGGTTTTTTGTTTTGTTTTTTTAAGAGAAGAATTGTATTAAAACTCAGTTTCTTCCACGATTATGGGTCTGTTGTGGTTTTCCAGTTCTTCTGGGGTCCAACTGATGATTTATATTTTCGCAGAAAATGATCAGTTTTAGCTGGTTTTCAACTCAATTTGCATATGGTCCAATACAACATCCTCTAAGAATGCTTTCTATTTTCTCTGTGTCAGTGGCTATTTCTCCATTTTAATGTTTAATTTTATATATTTGGCTCATTCCCTCCCCAACCCCTGTTAGAGTATCTAGTCTTACAAAAAAAATATCATCAAATGACACAGGCTTTTTTTTGCAAAAAAGCAAAACCCATTTCTGGGTCGTAACAGGTGCTGGTAAACACAAGTCACTCAACAAACATTTCAAAAGTGCAAAGAGCCTGCCCACATACTTCCTGGCCTTGAACACCCTGAACCTCTTTTTCCCAGCTTCCCCACCCTGTTAAACTCACCAACCCCCACTTCCTTCCACACCTGGCTGTCACCTCC